GGAAGGAAGGAAGGAAGGAAGGAAGGAAGGAAGGAAGGAAGGAAGGAAGGAAGGAAAAGTACTTTGGTCAAAAGTAGGGAAGGGGGAAGAAACAATAAAGAATGGATATGCTGGGAAAAGGAAGATGTTTAGGAGGGGAAACAAGAGGGAACTGGAAGATGGAGAACTCAAAAGTGTGTGTGAGGGTTTTCAGAAAAGATTTTAACCCTGGCAGAACTAGTGATGATCAGATTAATCACACTTATAAAAAGATGGGGAAGGGAGTTGATCCTTAGAGGAAGAACATTCTTACTTGTTTTAAGAGTGAATTGCTCTTGTAACTGTTGACAATATTTGATGAGAATTCTGAGAACAGAATCCCAACACATTGGAAGGGAAATAGGTTGAAAAAAGACAAATTAAAGCTTTGATGAAAGTTCCTTTTTTCCTAGCAGTCTGTAAAGTTAAACCAGCCTTGCTCAAGCTGGTGTCTTCCAGATGTGTTGAGACTCATTCTAACTTGGAATTCTGGGAGCTGTACTCCCAATACATCTGGAAGACACCAGCTTGGCAAAAGCTAGGCTAAATGAACTGGGAAAAGGTACAGGGTCATAGCAACCTGGACAATTTCTCATGTAGGCAAACAGCAATTTTGGGGAAGGAAACTACAACTAGGAAAATAGTCCCTACTCTCTCTCAGTATAGTTTATCCTAATTTGGGTCCACCTGCTTTAACCTTAGGGAAAAAATAATGAGTTAAATAACTCATTGAACTGGACCTTACATTTCTTCTAAATATGACATTTCATGAAGTAATAGGGCAATTTAGTATTTAAAAAATTTGTTAATTGCAATTTCTTTGAGGCACATTGGTGGAAGCCTCATGTGATGCAGGAAAGGACACCCCCCCCCCACATTCCCATATAGTCCAAAGGACATCTAAACACTTTACAGTGATCCAGGGACACAGAATTGCTGAAGCTACTCTGTTAGAAATATTGTGTCCAATTTACTCTGACATTAGCTCATGATGAGGATATTTTTGGGATCCATTTGGTGTTAAGATTAATTTTTATAACTATATTTGTGTGTGAGAGAGACAGTGCATGAATGAGAGAGAAAGTGTGTGTATTAACCTAAAGCAAAATTCAAGCAGAAATTTTCAAAAAAAGTATTTCTTCCCCATGAAAAGATTAAAAACTGTCTTAGACTAAGTTTGGTTATAATAGAAGATAATATCTGTAGCTCAGGGTTGAACTGTGGAGTCCTCGATGGTCTCTGAGTTAGTTTGTTTGCTTGCAGACGTTTCATTACCCAACGAGGTAACATCATCAGTGCCAGTGAGTGTGGGGTTTGCTCCCTGTTTATATACAGAAGCTTGCTCTGCCAGTGTTGGTGGGGGTGTGGTTTTCTCCTTGGTAGTTCCTTAATTAGGGTATTGTTTATTGCTTGACTGTTTGCTTGATTGTCTCCTTGGTAGTTCCTTA